TTTAAGGTATCTCGAATGTTTGGGAAGAATTTCTGGAAGGATAGAAATCCTTTTCTTACTAAGAGTCCCATTCGCTCTACTATTTTGCACCCTTTATATTTGGTATTTTTCTGATTGTACATTGGACGGATTATTGTGACAGGAAAGAAGTAGTTCCACGCTTTGAAATGAGCCCCATTAGGCTTCTTCGGTAATTTTTGTTTGTTCAAATGTGTTCGCATCTTCCAACTGAACCACGATGTCGGCCCTGGAGTTCAAAGGTAGATGTCAGTTAACATCGTATTTCCCTCTTATTTCATTTTTTGGTGAAAATTTGTATATAGTGAAAAATTATTCTTTATTTTGTTCACAAAAAATTTTCTGAATTCATTAGATAATAAAAATTGAAAAAAAAAATTGACAAAAGAAGAATAACACATTGAAAAAATCTTCAACTTATTCGCTGATTTTTTACAGCAAATGTTTAAAGATCCTTATATAGTTTGTCAATAGAATGTACTTCTATTTTAAAATTCGATTCCATTAAATTATTTCGACATCATCTATTCCGTTTCGCCACCACATAATTCGGTACTACACTTCCATGTAACTCGCCACCATTTTCATTTCTCAAGAAATCAAGTCAATTAAATAAATTGGTATTAATATTTGAATTCATAAATAAAATATAAAAAAACACTACAAATGTACATTAGAAAAAAGTAAGTCAAAATAGAAAAAAATCATGCAAAATAAAACATTACTATTGTACATTTGAAAAGTCAAAATGAAAATGTTAATATATCACATTCTTACGCGATTTTTTTGGATATTATCCTTTTCGGAGAGGAGACAATTCCGAATTTGTATGAATCGTTAAAATCAGTCCAGCGGTTCTTAAGTTATAAGCGTAGTAACTAACACAACTTTCTTTTATATATATAGATAGATAATTAAACCTTTAAGGAAAATTCAGAAATTGGGTGAGCCGACAATAGCATACCCTGCACCACTATGCATATTTAGTAGATCTCCCATAGGAAAAAAATTTATTTGATGTAGATCATACCACCTATCAACATTTGGCTTTTGAGCAGTTATAATTTGGTTTCAGAGGGAACTAATATATATATGGGAGGCATATCCAATTCTGAATCGGTTTTCACTAAATCCCTCTTTTATACCAAATAACATTGCTATAGCGTGCATGATATCACTTCGAGAAGGATTGTATTGAAAAAATATATATCGGAGCCGAGTTCCACCAAATCGAAAAGTACGTCCTGAAATTCACTCCATTTGGGCTGATATTAGCCATTATTTGCACAATAAATCTGAAATCGGGTTAAGGATATATATGGGAGCTACATTCAAATCTAAGACGATCTCGATAACATTTGGCAAAGGTATTTCCGTGCTCTATAAGGTATCTGGTACCAAATATCATTGTTGTCGGATGAAACATATATTATTTGGATGTGCCAAAATTCAGGTAATTTGGACTGATATGGTGCACAATTAATCCAAAACGGCAAATTGAAGTGTTGTAAGGTATCAAGTGGTCGGCCCCACTCGACTATATCCTTTGATTACTCGTTTTATGTATTTGTGCATTTGTTTGTAACATGGAGAGGATCTTCGCAGAATCACTTTCTGAGGCAGTCCGTCTGCCCATGTATTTTTGTGAACAAAATGCAGGTGTAATTTTTATCCGATTGAGATGAAATTTTCCAAACAATATATGAAAATCGCTTCAAATTTACATATAGCTCCCATATATATCTTCAACCGATTCGGGTTAATTGTGTACCAAATGCCTAATGTCAGCCCAAATGGAGTGAATTGTGGCATTTCCGACCCAATTCAGTTTATATATGTTTTATCCGATTTGATGTTTAAATCCCTCACATTCGTAATATGAAGCCTGCAACTATGCTATCCGGTACCAGATATCTAATAGAGCTCAGATTAGCTCTTCTTAGCCAAATTATATCGGGATCGATTCAGATTTCGATATAGATATATAAATATCTTCGACCGGATTCAGGTTTATTGTGCACCACATATTATTTGGCACATACGAACGAAGAAAGTGGATAAAATGTAGTGAAATTCGATAAAGATATATCTATAAGTCCCATACGTTTCATCTGATTTTGTATCTAATTCCCTCACGCCCGTAAAATGTTTCCTACAATAACCATTTTTGGTTCCAGCTATCAGACACAGAATGTAAATACCTCAGCTTATTGTGATTTTTCCAGATTTGGATATAACTTCCATACATATATCTTCAACCGACTTCACGTTGTACCTAAAAAGTGCAATATCAAGTCAAATAAATGGATTTTGATGAATTTCGGTTCAGTCCGTCAAATTTAGTATAAATCGATTAAGAGGAAGATATACAGGGTGAGATAAAAAAAACTGCAACCAACTTCAGACTGCTGTCATTTCTAAGCCACTCGTCCAACAGCTATTAAAATTATTCCAGTGACAACTCATTATATTGTTTACAAGCGTACAAAAGCATTTTGGTGAGAATTTTCCGGGAAAAAAAGTTATTCGTGATGGAATTCAAGCGTGATAGTGTGATTTCTTTATATTTGGCTTGAAAACCACAAGTGCCTATCGTTAGAGCACTCCAGCATTTAAATGTGAATAAATCTTTTGTGTCTCGTACCATCGCTCGTTACCGTGATGCTGGTAGCGTAGCCCGACGTCAAGGAAGTGGACTGAAGAAAACAGCAACATCAGCAGAAATGGTTCGAAAAGTAAAGAAGCGACGTGATCGAAACCCTCATAGTCACGAAAAATGGCTCGTGAGCTGAACATTCCATTCGGCAAATATTGAAAAATTAACTCGGGGTAAAGCCATTGAAATTCCAAAAAGTGCAAGAACTTACACCGCAACAGAAAGAAAATAGACCCAAAAGAGCTAAAGAGTTGCTTCGCTTGGCCGAAAGTGGTGAACTGAAAACATTCCTTGTCCAGCAGTTTGTAAACAAACAAAATGATCGTGTTTACTTGCCAAAGAGGTCAGCTGAAAATGTGTATTTTGGCCACCAGAATTCAAGCGCCGGCCATGATGATGGTGTGGGCCGCCATAACAGCCGAGGGTCGCTGTCCGCTGGAATGAATCGACCGTGGCAATAGAATAAATGCCAAATATTTTCGCGAAAATGTTCTGGAGGTTGTATTAAAGCCTTGGTCACGCAAACATTTTGGCCGCAGACCTTGGACATTCCAACAGGACTCAGCACCATCGCACTCAACACACGCCACCCAAGAATGGTTACAAAATGAGGCTCCTCGCTTCATTTCCAGCGAACAATGGGCACCAAAATCTCCGGATACCAGTCCGTTGGACTATAGTGTCTGAAGTATTTTGGGAAGCAAGGTTGACACTAAAAAGCGCTTCGCAGGGAATGGGTCAAAATACCGCAGAGCAACATTTGTGCAGCTTGTGACGGTTTCATTGGCCCTTTGAAGGCCATAATTCGTGCCAAAGGTTACCTATTCTAAACTTATTCTAAAATTTCCGACATTTTTTGTTTTCATTCAATAAAATTTAAAAAAATAAAAATTATGGCGTTTTACTTTGTTGTACATTATTTAATCTCACCCTCATTCGATTTGATGTTTAAATCCCACACTTTCGTAACATTCATTCTGCGCTACTTTGTCAAATTATGTCGCTATCGGTTCCGATTTGGATATATATATATATATATTGTTGCCATATATATCTTCGATCGATTTCAGGTTTATTGTTTAAAACAAACCCAAATTGAAAGGATTTGGGCACCTAATTCAGCTTGGAAGAAAGTGAATAAAATTTAGTGAAATATGGTTAAGATATATCTATAGGTCCCATATGTTTCACCCGATTTTGTATTTAAGTTACTCAAACCCGTAAAATGCTCCCTACAACAACCATTTTTGCTTTCAGCTATCAGATGCAGAATATAAATACCTCAGCTAAATTTTATTGAGATCGGTTCAAATTTGAATATAGCTCCCATATGCATATCTTTATCCGATTTCAAGTTTATTATGCCTAAAAAGTGCAACATCAAGTCAAATAATATGGATTTAGATGCATTTCGGTTCAGTCCGTCAAATTTAGTAGAAATCATTTAAAAGTTTCCTTTCGGCTTTAAATTGTTAATGCCTTAAAGCCACAAATATGCAAATTGTTGTAGGGTATCATAAAGTCGACTTTGGGTCTTTTTTTACTGGTTTTGTTTGACATTCTGATTACTTCATCGAAGTAGTTCAGACGTAGAGTTGTAGATATTAATATATGTGTGTGTTTGAATGCACAGTATGAATAGCGCTACCAGTAAGTGTTAGTGCCAAATTAACAAGCCACTTACGTCTATTGAATTTATGGTTATAATCAATCATTCTCATTAGGTTTACAATTTAGCGTTTATTTTGAGAATAAAAGATACCCAGCAAAAATATTTTTAATAAGTTAAGAACAAAATCATTTATCGAATCGGTTTATGGTCCGCACAGTAATAATTGCGTTACATACAGAAATGCCTACACTATCACCATAATCGAGGAGTTGAATGGCTATAATACTTAAATCTCCCGGCCCGAGATTTAAACATCGTTGAAGTCATCACATGCGCTCTTTAGAAATATTTGTTAGAAGGGGTCACATACAGCAAAAAATACTTCCGTCAAATTTAGTGGAAAGCTATTCAGATACACATGTAGCTCACATACTGTAGCTCTACTCTTGCTATGTCGCTGATATAGCTCTGCTAAATACCGTTAGTGGTCATCAATCACTCCATACGACGATCAAAAATCTATCTGATTCTAACAACGGTTTGGTTTGCTGGGACATTACTGCGCGTGGGTATGTTTGTTGCACATATTCCCGATAATAGGTATTACGATCGTAAACTAAATTCCTGAAAACGACACAGTTGTTTACACCTAAGCCCCTAAACATGCATTGTTTACTGGCTAAAGACACAGAGTATTGCAGAGTATCCACTTACCCATAGCATCATTCGGTTCCATTATTGTTGCCTGGCGACTGGCGACGCTGCTGTTCAATTGATTTTGTTGTCGTCTTTGTTCAACTTCAAACGACGATATCTTCTGCACGTGAATTTATTTGAGAGCGGCAAGGGGGCTATGTATACACCACAGTAGCAGCTAGACCACTAGACGCGATACAAATGCATTGGCGCGAACTTCAACAACAGGTTATGAGACGACGAATAAAATTAGAGAGCAACGCGACTTGTCACGATATCCGCCACAAGAAAAACACAACTCAGTCGCAACTCATGTCGTTCATCCGTAGTTGCTTTTGAGATATTTATCTTTGAATACAAATGCGCGGCGGCTACGTCTGTATGTATGGCTGCGGTTTTGATTGGAGCTGTCGCGGTACTGTTGTTGTTGCTGTTGTTATTCTTAGCTTTTATTAAAATTGTACACGATATACACTTATTGGGAACCAACAGCGGAGGTACATTTGCAAATTCTATTTATTTAATTTAATTTAATTTCGCATTTAATGTGCTCAAGACAGAAGACACGGTTTTGATTAACTCACACTCACTCGGGCACTCACACACACATATGTATGTTATGTGTAAACTTTACTATTTTTATTTACTTTATATTTGTACTTTGTTGCTTATCTCAGAAGAATTCCTGAAAAAGAAAAGAGAATAGGAATTAACAAAAAAATAATAATTTATAATTAAAACACTGGTCCTATTAAGCCATTCTTAAATCTACAACAATGTGCGATAAGTCAGTCAGTTGCAGATATTCTGGCTGGTTTAATTGTGAGTGACTGGTTTAATAAAGGCATTGATCAGGCAAACATTTTGGTAGTAAAGTTTGCGGTTAAAAAAAAAAAAACTATCATATCGCTCAAAAAAATTGTTGGTGCCAAAGATGCTAAATTGTAATCCATGTTCCAAATATTTGCTTTAGTTTGGAGAGACACATTTTCCATTTTGAAAATTTGATTTTTTCAGTAATATCGCTCTTTGAGAAAATTTGGGGCATTGACCGTACTTTTGCATTGGGTTCAATTACCAATGTACCCTATATTGACAATGTTTTGCAAAAAATGGTTTCAGAAATCTGGCTAAAATGTACACTTGTACACTCTATGTACACTTACTTAGGATCATATCACTAACCCTCTTATTTCCAAATGTATCTCCTTGCCAATAACTACCTCATAAACGAATTGCAAATCATCATTTTGTTGAAAATTAAATTTGACGTAGTACATGTGCCTGTGGACAACTGAAGTTATGAGGTTAAAACGCCCTACATACATGACAAGTGCAGTGGTTTTCAACTGCCTGTTCCTTTTCGTATACGTCATGTGAAATCCACTTATTTGAGAGTTGACAGTTTAAATCCACTCAACTTTGTTGAAAAACGTATAAAAAACATTTTTTTTGGCATAATCTTTTAAAGTTTTTGACATAGTTCCCAAGCGTTGATGCATCTACCTGTATTATTCTAACATGTACATACAGGGTTGCCCATATTCAACGGACCTTTGGGCCCATTCCAATCGACGAGGCTTGTCCGCAGGCAACATTCTTTGCGTCAATTGAATTTTGTACGGGAACAAATGCAAATCAATGCGAATAATCCGTTGGAAAGTGGACCGAGTCATGCCCAACTGCGGAGAACGGCGTTTTTGGGATGTTCTTGGGGACCTCTCAACACTGGCTCGTACGGCAGCGATATTCGGATTAGAAAGAGCCTTACCAGTCGAAAATTTTTCGTATAAACGCTTTTTAATGTTTTAAAAGCACGTTGAGTTTTCACAATTGACTTCTTGTAAATTTCAACTATTTCAGAGCGCTCACGTGGCGTGTATTGGTTCATGGTAAAATCTGTTTGGACTGACGCTTCAAACGCGGTATGTCATTAAGCGATGTGACATCTCTGTCAAAAGTTATGGCGTTGCCAGATGGGTCCGTCGAATATGGGCAACCCTGTACATATATCGGTTAAAACGTAGTCGGGTACAAGGGAATAAGAGTTAATGTGAGACAAGTTTGCTTTCAATATTTAATTCTACATTTTGTTTATCCAATTACATAAATTAAGAAACTTTACTAGCAATCGCTGCCCAACCCTTCTGATATTCTGGTAGCAGAAAAGATTTTCCAAGGTACCATCCCAACTACAACCGTGTCGTGGTTGTAGTGTCATTCATACAATGTATGCAGTCAGTGAGGTCATAAATCTGCATTTAAAGAGCTGCTTACGCAATTCTCTACCAAAAATGTTTGCAGGGACATGTCTGTTCTCTTGTTGAATGTCAACACCCAAACGTGGCCTGGCTGCTGCGTGTTCATACAAACGAGTCATTTATTTTTAAAGTGTGGTCAAGAATGGTTGAGTATTAAAGTTGTTTTTGTCATCATTAACAACCGCAGCGATTCCAAAATGGAAAAAAATGCATTTTTAAAGAGTGGTGGCTGATAAAGAATGAGACGTATTCCGGTGTGCCAGCATATAGTTCGGGATTCTGTGGTGAGATTATCAGCAAAAATAAATATAATTATCAACTCGACTTTTAAGCTTTAAAATATGTACCGCATAAATACACATATTCGTACGTATTTAAACGATGCCCCACCCATCTCAAGTTCACTTTTCATTAATATGGAATTGGGTGGCATTATTGGTGTACAATGGTTCCAAGAGTGCACAGTGATATGAAATCAGTAGCAATCGGTTTTTTGTTTCATTATTTCCCATTTCTGGTTTTCACGTTTTTTTGATAAGAAATTGGTGGGCATGGGTTTTTCGTTGATTGCAAGATTATCGATTCTTGGAAAAGCTCTTCATTATCATCTGAAATCATAACGCCGGATTTCTTATCTAAGAATTAGATTTTGTAATGGAAAACAGTTTTTAGTATGGCAGCAGGTGAACGGCACGTGCGTCTCAAAGGCGATTAGCGTTTTGGTATTTTGGAATTGTGATTATCACAAACAAATTAAACCAGTAAGGAAAAGTCAAGACAGGCTGAGCCGACTATATGATACCCTACACAACTATGCATATTTAGTAGCATCTCGTATCTCGTAACAAACGCATTTATTTGATGTAGATCGCACCACCCATCAACATTTGGCTTTAGAACGGTTATAATTTGGTTTCAGAGGTAACTAATATATGGGATGCATATCCAATTCTAAATTGATTTTCACTAAATTTGACGGATAAATTTTTATCTTTTATAGCAAATAACATTGCTATAGAGTGCATAATATCACTTCGAGAAGAGTTATATTAAAATAATATGTATCGGAGCCGAGCTCCGCCAAATAGAAACGTGCGTCTCGAAATTCACTCAATTTGGGCTGATATTAGCCATTATTTGCACAGTAAACCTAAATCGGATTAATGACATATATGAAAGTTATACCCAAATCTTAGCCGATCTCGATAAAATGGCAATGGTATTCCCGAGCTCTATAAGATATCTGGTACCAAATATCATTGTTGTCGAATGCATATTACGAATGTGAAGGACTTAAAGACCAAATCGGATGAAACACATATATGGGAGCTATATCTAAACCGATTTTCACAAAGTTTGATGTACTTGCTTCTAGACTAAATTCTTAAATTCAAAGACATAATATCCTTACTATGTGGTGTAGGGTAAAAAAATAGATTTTTAATATTTTCATTAGAGGTTCTAATTTTGCGGAACTGTGCAAGTTTTTTTGTTTAATACGCATTGTTTTTTCTCAAATGTTTCTTTGTTATTCATGGTAGAAGAAGGTAGACGCATCGACACAGCTGCTGGGACAATGAACTGTCAAACCGATTTTGGAATTGAAAATTTTGAATGAAAATTATTTAAATTTGTAAAAATTGTTGAAAAACGCATATTATAATAACCTCCGAATGACTTCGTATAAGAAAACATATAAAAATCTACTTTATTTGAAAAGACATTTAAATTTTTTGACATATCAATGTTTCTAAGCGTTGATGCATCTACCTGTATTCTTCTACCATGGATTAATCCCTATTCAACCTTTTCAAATTCTCTCTAAGTGTCATTTGCATTTTGCCCTTCAACATGTGTTTATACTGCAGCATATTCTGCAGCTGCTCTTGCTGTCGTTAAGCGGCATTTACCCATTTCCTTGATTTCATAGTGAGTAGCAGATATTTTTTTTTCGTTTTAACACATTTATACAAAATTTGTTATGCCACGAACATTCTTTGGAAACAGGTTTGGTAATTTGGCTATTGTTTGTGTAATTTTTATTTGTTTTTGTTTCTCTCTCTCTCTCTCTCTCTCTCTCTCTGTGTCTCTTGCGCGAGTTACCTACAGCCACCAATAAACAACATTATTATTAAGTTCATTATTTTCAACCACAACCTCATTTATTAAAAACATCATTATTGTTAACACCATTATTATTAACATCATTATTATTAACATCATTATTATTAATATCATTATTATTAACATCATTATTAGTTACAACATTGTCATAAGCACCAAAGAGCTAACACCAATATTGTTGACATTATTTCGTCAGCAATAATTCTCCACTTCAACATCACAATAACAACACTAGTAATAAAACTATGACGGAAATAACCCAAAAAGAAATGTTTACTTTTACTGTACCCAATACAAATTTTTAGCTTAAGTATTTTTCTTGATAGCTCTAGATTTTATGTTCCTTTGTTCTTTGTTAACTCTAAGAAAAATCAATAATTGTAAAATCGCTTAAATATAAGAATTTTTTGAATAAAGCATTAGTTGTATTTGGCATCTAAAACAGAATAATTCTTGTTTTCTGATTTTTCGGCGGTACGGAAGTTAACTGGCGCAGTCGTACGGCCATTGTTGGTGCGGTCTTTCTCAAGTGAAAAAATATAATTAAATAAATGTATCCTTAAAACAGAAAAAAAAAAAACCAAAAAAAAAAAAAAAAAACAGTGACAAGTTAATTGTGGAAAAAACAGTGAACTATCCTTTAAAGAACATAAAAAAATTTTTTTTTGAGAAAAATTTGGTAAAGAAAAAAAATATATTAAATTAATTAGGCTTGACGGTATATCAAGTAATCCTTAAGGAGAAAAATCGTGCGCCAACAATCGGAAAAAAAAAGAACCTACGTCCGTACAACCGAGAAAATCAAGTGCCAATACAATATAATATTTTGTTGAAGGAATATCAACAAATTATATCTTAAATAAAAAATATATATAAATTCATAAATAATATTTTGTTGAAGGAATATCAACAAATATTACCATCCGGAGAGAATGAATATCTTTTTGGTTGGAATAAATATTTAATAAAAATTGTTGAAGGAATATCAACAAATTATATCTTAAATAAAAAATATATATAAATTCATAAATAATATTTTGTTGAAGGAATATCAACAAATATTACCATCCGGAGAGAATGAATATCTTTTTGGTTGGAATAAATATTTAATAAAAATTGTTGAAGGAATATCAACAAGTTATATCTTAAATAAAAAATATATATAAATTCATAAATAATATTTTGTTGAAGGAATATCAACAAATATTACCATCCGGAGAGAATGAATATCTTTTTGGTTGGAATAAATATTTAATGAAAATCGTTGAAGGAATATCAACAAATAATACGGTCATAGTGG